ATAGGGGGTGGGTGGGGTGGGTGACATGGGTGAAGGAAGTCAGAAGGTACAAACTTCCAGTTATAAAATAAATAAGTCATGGGAATGTAATATGCAACACAGTGATCATAGTTCAGCAATTTTCAACCTTTTCTATCTCATGGATCACGTAAACTTATTACTAAAATTCTTTGGCACACCAAAAAGTATGTTTTTTGCTGATCTGACAAAAGAAAATGAATAATTTTGATTCATTCAAACTGGACCACTAATGTTGTGCTGGCTGTTGTCATTTTTATTTGACAATCTAAGGGAAAAGAGATCAGTGCCCCTAACTAGTCAGATATTACATGTTCTAAAAATTCTTGTGGCACATGGGTTGAAAATCGCTGCTCTAATTAATACTGTGTTGCATATTTGAAAGCTGCTAAGAGAGTAGATCTTAAAGCTCTCAACAAAGAAAAAATTCTGTAACTATGTATGGTGACAGATGTTAACTAGAGTTATTGTGGTGATCGTTCTATAGTATGTGCAAATATCAAATCATTATGTTGGACCTCTGAAATTAATATAATGCTGTATGTCAATTATACCTCAATAAAAACAAGATAGAGGCTGAGAACATCATAGAAGGATATTTGGTAATTAATTTTCAAATAAACATATATATATATAAACACACACACACATACACACACACATATATACATACACTAAATGCCAAGTGCTACTCTAGATATTGAGCATAAGGAAGAGAAATAATGGTGATTGAATAGCATCCCTATTTGTAAGGAACTTATAATCTAACTGAAAATAAAGCACAAAGATTTAAAAAGTCGAATTAAAGCACAAAATTCAAATAACCAAAATAGTGTGAAGGACAACTTGATATATTGCATAATTAATTATCAAATTAGTGTCTAGACCAGAGCTTTATAAACCTGGCTGTGCCACTGAAATTATATAAAGAGGTTTTTAAAAATTAAATGCTTGAGCTCTACCCCAGACCTCCTGAATTAAATTTCTGGGTACAGTATGGAAGATTAGGAGGCATAAATTCAGAGAAGGGAGATGGGGGTGGTGAAACCTGGCATTTTGTACTTTATAAAACTCCCCAGATGATCTTGATGAAAACAGTTGGGCGCAACCAAGTAGAGAAGTATTTGAGAATCACTGCTGTGGGTCAGGATGGCACCACTGGGCAAACATATTTCTACCAGTATATGTGGCACATAAACCCAATGGGCTTTGAATTATGGCAGATTTTCAGCATTAACTCACACTTTTTCCAACTCCACACTGAGGTTGAGAAGTATTAGCCTAGATCACAAGGAGAGTACACAGTGAAGTTTAACTGCTTCATGGAGGGGCAGCTTGCACTGAGTTTTAAAGGCAAGTTCTTTCTCATCCAATGCAGAAGAGAGAATCTTGCCCGGGAAAAGGAACAGCATGTTTTCAGGAAAGTAAAACTGGGCTTGAAGCATGATGCATTGAAGAGTTGTTTAGAAGAAAGGGTTCATGCAGGGAATGCTGGACTGTAGACACTATCAGGTTCCCTCTTTGGGTTCCACTGTGTTTTTATTATGGAAAAATGTGAAGACCAAGTCTAGGATTTTATGAATCTCAATTCAATAAACTTGATGTTACTTTTGTTTACTCAAGCTACTCAAAAAGGTTAGTGTCTTATTATTTTCATTATAATCTGCACATCTAGGATGCGTTCTTGGCTGTGAACTTTTGTTTCTTTTTAATAATCTTTAAAGAAGGTTCTAGGTTCTTTAGTCAATGTTATTTAATCCTTGTACTTAATAGAGAAAAGCCAGGACTACAATGACCTGGTGTTGATGACATAAGGTGTTTGGGTGCAAGATGCCTTTGTTCAGAATGCCAGAAGGGAAGAGTAAATTTCCAAGACGATTATCATTAATACTGAAGATTTAAAAGTTGGGGCATAAGCAACTTGAAACAAATACCAGTATTATGGTTACCTGAGTGAATGATTCCTGGTAAGATCAGGTTGCCTTTCCTGTAGAATTTCAAATATATTGGGTTGGCGCAGAAATGCAACAATCTTGTCATTATAAGCTGAAAAATCAGAAAACATAACATTTTAAAAAATCTGTCATTAGTTTTGTGCATATAAATCCAAACTTTTAAAAATCTGTTTTTCTGGTTAATATTCCTGGTACTCAAGCCACTACATATACTTAAATTCCAATTTGTGTCTATCCTGTTATGAGTATTGAATTTAGATCTGTCAGGTGTGATGTACTTAAGCATTCATTAAGCTCATTTGATAAGCCATATTTGTCATCAAGTGGCAAGATGAAATCACTAAGATCCTAGATACTGATCATTTCAAGCTACTGCTTACCAAAATCAACTTCATCAGAAAACTATCTTCTGATTAAATATCAGTCATGTAGAGAGGTAAAGAGGCAGAACCAGTCACCAAAATGCAATAGCTGCCAGCAACAGCTACTACCAAAATGCAGAGGACAAACCATTCCCAAATTCTACGTGGAAATAAATTTCATTAAGCCACACATAGCTCTTTACCAAACCAACTATATCAACAGCTACACCACGATCAGCAGCATCAACTATTTGTTAAAAGAAAAATTTACATTTTAGTCACAGCTGCCTAATGTCCAAGAAACTGAAAAATAGTTACTTAAAATTTATTAAGGGCTCTTTTCATACCTGTTTTGTCAAGAAAACTAGTTTGGTTACTTAAGATGATTCATCTTGATTATATTTACTTATAATCAGAAACATAGATATATTTAAATCACAGAACTGAGTGATTCTCAAACATCAGAAATCCTAGTTCAGTCCACACTCTGTGTTCATAATACGATGAAGAAAGATGCCTTGCTTAAACTAATCAAGGGTCAAACAAAAGAGACATAATTCTCTAGATTTTTGCTGGTTCCGATTTAGTGGTATCATGCTGCCTACACATACATATTTTAATTAAATACAAATAAAAATGTTAAAAAATACTATTTGCTAACACGGAATCCCACTGTCAAATTCAGTGTCCCTAACTGCACACTTTCGCATATAACAAAAATAAAAACACCTTTATAACTGAAAGTTATCGATGGGTTTGTACATTCCATCCATGATCAGAGACGAGGTAACTTTGAACAAAAATTTTGAAGCACTTTAAAATTCTGTGTGCAGTGTTTAGTATCCTCTCAGTAATGGCATAGTCAAACACAGACTGTTCACTTTGACCCCAAATTTCTTCTTATCCAGTGGATGTCAAACTTCTTTAGGCCATGTGCATTACATTACGTTTCATGGTAATGATTTGTTTTTAAAAAATGTAAAAATTTTAAAGAAAAAACAAATGGAGAGCCATTCAAATTTAAGATGGAGCAGGGAGCCTATAGGAGCTCTGGCAGTCTGTCCGCTCCACCTGCCTCCAGGCCTCCAGGCCTCCCGGTTTGACAGCTGATCTACTTCGACTTCATCATTTAATAACAACTCAAGTTGTCAGGCCTATTTGCTCACATTCATTTATTTTTATTTTATAATTTCACTCCAAAATTGGCTACCAAAAAACCCTTCACGATGTACCATCATTGCTTTCTTATTTTATGAGGCTACACAGGCTCACACACCATTGAAATTCTTATTTCAATGCGTTAATATATGTATACTAAGTACATGCTTGTCCAATTACTTAATTTGAAATGACCACATAATACAGTTACTTTACTTTTCTTTAACTTCAATAATCTAATGTAATAGCTCTACTCGGAAAAGGGAGAGTTGCATTTTAAAAAATCTCATCCTATAGGATTTTATAAGCCATAAGTGCTTTGAGGTTCAAATCAGTTTCTTGGGGACAATGGAAGAGTTTCTCAGTACAGGGCAAAAGCAGCAGGCTGACAATGGGAAGTTACAGCACAGAATGCATGGGACACGCTGACGTGAGAAGCAGAGATAAAGATTTCTGTAAAGTGATGACATACCCACTGGAACCATGTCCTGGTACTGCGGCCTACTGACGGTATTGAATGTACTCGACGGCCTGGGAAGAACTGGTGGCCCCGCATGTCGAGAATCTTCTCCTACCTGCAAACACAAGCATCACTGATGTTCTGCACCAAGACCTAGAGTGCTTTACATCGGCACCTAGAGCCAAGCTCTTCAAACTGCTTGACAACGAGCACTGGTAAGTACCAACCTATCAGAACAAATGCCAGCAGAGGAGCTGACATAGGATTCTAAAAAGCTCTGCTTTAGCTGCTGAACTGAGTGCAGGAGTTGGGGCATCCATGTCCTTGAGAGGGGAAGGGGCAATGACAATATATCTACCATGTAGCACAGGAGTAGTTCCATATGATCACAATGATTGGGGCTGTAGAAGCTAAATAGCAGACCTGCTCATCAGGAATAACTTCTGTCTCGACAGAACACAAACCTGCCACAGTACACTCAGAGAAAAGACCTGGGCAGAACAAAATACATCAAGGCAGTGCCAGGATATCCCTTCTTTTGGCCAAGGCAAATCAGGGAATTCCCTGCCTCAGCAGAGGAGGGGCTGAAGAGCAGCTGTCTTCATGTGGCTTTGTATATTATCTCCTTAGATGCAATTTTACTTGCCTATTAGAGCACCCAGTACAACAGCTCTTTCTGGTTTGAAACTCCCACACCAGGGAGCTAATCATAGCAGGTGTGGAAGAGCTAAATAGGATTGCCCTGACCTGAATTATTTATGGTGCCTATTACAGATTTAGAAACTCATACGTACAAGTAGACAAACAAAAAATATTCTTACAAGAAAACTCTACCATTGCTTTAGCTTCTGTTTTACCCCCCTTCCCCATATTACAAAATTATTTTAAGACAATGGTAGAATAATAGTATAAGAGAGTAAGAGAACAAATGGCAAAATAACATACTGGATTTATAAATTGGTACTTTTAAAATAGAGCTTCTATTCCCACCCATTCAAATCTTCACAACCACTTTACTAAATTGCATCAGTTAGGTGTTTGGTGAGGGTTTTTCTAAAGGCCCTAAAACTGGAAATGTCATCCCCACCCTACGTGGCTTGCTTATCCTTCAACAGAAAGCAAGTGTAGTTCACTCATTCAAAGGGTAGTTCAAACAGCCCCTCCTTGACGAAGCCTTCCCTTCCCTTGAAGCTGAGATTAAATGTGACCTTCTCTGAGCTCCCACAGCACTTGGTGTTCATTCTAACAGTTTATAAAGCATTTTTCACTCATATTTTTTCATCTGTACTATGGTTCGTTTCATATATTCTCTCCTTAATAAGAATACAGGACAGGAACATATATTATTTATTTGTATCCTTCACAACAAACACCATGTTGCTACACTGCAGGTGTTTGGTAAGTATTAATCTGTTGGATGGAAGAGATGCAAAAATGTCTACTACCTGGAGTGTTTGCTAAGCGAGCAGAAGAGAGCGGCTGGAAAGACTCGTCTATGTAACTAAAGTTTCTCACTCTGCATCTGGTGAGTTCATGGCTCTGGGGAATGAAGTCAGCCACTCTCTGGGGAGATTCAACCATTAACTACATCTCGTTTGTCAGTCACAGAAGTTATCATTTTAATCCACCCACATAGACTTTCTCTCCTGTCAGGATGCTGCTATGTGTCATCATTTCCCAGAACAGCCGGAGGTCTTCTTGACATCCATCTTCTTCAGACCAGCCAGCCGGCCAGTGGACAAGCCCTGAAAGATGTGCCTATCACTGCAGGAACTACATGCTTCCAGCGGTGCCAGGAAGCTCGTCCCCCTTAAAGGTTTAACAACTCAGGCCCCAAATGCTCAGTCTTTACGGGGTATCCCTGCTCCACCGCTCAGTTTCCATCCATACGAAGAGAAATTTTCATTCCAATTTTAATGTGTACCCAATTTTAATGTGGGATCCCTCTCCCTCAATAGGCTACTACTAGAACATGAAGACAATTCGAGTCCTGGGGCAGAGGGTTGAAAGGAAATGTAAGTATAGCCTTTAGTCTCATGCACGTAGTCCTGACCAGACTGAACAGTCAGCTTTGTATTGTGAAGTCAAGATAAGACAAGTGGCTAAAGTGCACTGGCCACGTGACAGAGTCAGGCAGGGCCCAAATTATGCTACATGTCATGCACAAGGTCCAAAGGTGAGAGTCTGTTCTGCTTATAAGATGAATGCTGTTCGCATCATCTACTTCACCACTAATGGCTTATAGGACAGCAGGGTAAAGATTTATTAGCTGTTCATAAAACATAAATGTTTTTGTGGATACCTCATCCTACAGTAGATCATTTTTATATGAGCTTCTCATGTACACTCTTCTGTGTTTGCACTTATGACCAGCAAACACACATGATGCATTAAAGCAAGTATGTAAATGATATGGGGAAATTCCCACAGTGGAATTTTAATGTATCAAATCCAGTTATTTACTGCACTCATAATTTTTCTTATAATAGAAGCTACAAAAATATTTGACCTACAATATAATACTGAAAATAGGATTGCACATAGATGTGGAAATGGCATGCAGGGAAACAATCCTAATTAAATACGTCTAAGGGAATTATTAGAAACAATGTATATTAAGTGATGATATATGTTCAAAGCATAAGTCCGTATAAGGAGAAAAAATTTGACCTGAAACATTCCTTTTCTTTATTTAAGCCTCTAAAGAAAAAGAAAAGCAGGAAGGGATTATAATACTTCTTTTTTTCTTTTTGGTTAAGCTATTCGAGAGCCCTCATGTGGTTACTACGGGTCACTGCAAACTAGCAAAGTAGAGCACAAGAGACTTCAGTAATTCTTCATTCCGCTCATTTTCTCTGGGCACTTACAGTACATAAATCAACTCTCAGGTATATCCTAATTTTAAAGAATATCAGTGAGACTGCCACAATCCCATAGCCTTGGCCAAAGATTCTGATCGAACCCAGCAAGCCTCACTTAAGAAACTGCCCCCAATTTTACCGAATCTGAGCCCACTGGAGTTACGTTCATCTCCTGTCCAGCTGCCCTTAGGAAAGCAGCAGGGCTCCCGCCCCCTCGGAAGCGCTTCATTACACCGTGAATTCTCGCTCCCCATTCTCTGAATTCCAGAAAATCTCAAATCCTTCCATCTTTTCTCATAGATCCAGTGTTAAATTTGTCATTTAGTCTGTGTGTCTCCAAAGCAGCCCTGTGAACATCCCAGCCCCTTTCGGCATCCCCGGGGGTGACAGCCCCGGCCCGAGACTCACCTCGCCCGCGCTGTGGCTGCGCTGCCGGGTCAGGTGCTGCCGGTGCACCAGCGCGCTCGTGGGCCGGCTGCTCTGCAGCGGGAGCCGGGGGTCGATGAACGTGGTGGTCCGCGAGTTGTGGTCCACAAAGAAGGCCTAGGGAACAGTGCACTCAACAGTCAGTGCGCACCCTGCCGGCCGGGGGCCCCCCGCTTCACACGGTCAGGGAGACACCCACTTTCGGGTCATGATCTTAGCTCCATTTTCTCGTAATTTTTAAATATTTGGGGGGATGTCTCCTTACCCCTCAGGAAAGACCAAAAGGGAAAAAGACATGTTTAGGTTGGTTCCAGAAGGAAGAGAGCAGGAAGGGACATTATTCCTGGTTTTAGGAAATACTCTGAGAGATAGTCGTCAAAGATATAATCTTAGAAAGGAGTCACATGAATGGACATTCGGGCTTCTCTTAACTGCCCTTTAAGCGCTTACTGCCATCCCAAACTATCACACAGTTCCGATCACCTGGAACGCCCACCATCATGGGCTTCTCGTTTCCTATGCAGTCAGCACCAGATCCTCCCCACGTCCCCACCGCAGCGTCTCCTCTTTTTGTCCCGTCCCAGCCTGACTGCCATCCATTATTTCAGGGCTTTCTCTTATGCACAGAAGTATTCATAGCTTCTCACTTCTTCCCCATCTCTACCCCTATTCATTTAACTGGCCCCTCAGGACCAGAATTATTCTTTCCACCTTCTTCGATTACATCGCCCCTCCAATCCAGAGCCTCTCCTAGCTACCCACTATCTATAGGAAAAACATTCCACTCTTTTTGTCAGTTTTCCAAGACTTTAAAATCTTCCTTCTTGCCTTCCAGTTTAGTCATTCATCACACATTCGGACAATTTTTATCAGATACAATTACTCTGGGCAAACCACTCAAGTTCTCTCTGTAGATTTCTTATATAAACATGTCTCCTCATTCATAATAAACATTTCTCCCCCCCAAAGTAATAAGAGGGAGGAAACCATGTCTATTGTGTTTACTGTAGAATCCTGGGTGACATGAAATCACGAATGAGCATAAACCACTTCTCTCATTGTAACTGTAAGGATTGCCTTACAGTTCAATGTAGAGAAGCCTTCTTTTTAAATTTTTTTTTTGTTTAATTCTAAAGGCCTACACAAGTGCTATTTATCATTATCTTTAGGAACCAAATGGTTTAAGTTTCAAAGTAAAATTCACTCAAGGCAATAATGAAGCCCATGATCTCAAGGACAATTAGAAAACATAAGTTTTCCATGATCAGATAAAGTTAATTAGGTCATCAAAGATAAAAGGGACTGTTAGGAGAGCCTGGGGACTCTTTACCTATAAATCAAGTGTCAGGGCAAACAGCCTAAGCAAAAAATAACTGACTTTTGGAACTGATGGAGCCCAGTGAACAAAGTACCTTAGACATCTAGGCAAATCCCAGGTGCAGATGATGTATTTATGCCTATCAAAAAAAATTCCTTTCCCTTGATGAAAGAAAATGTTTCAGTATATACATAATTAGGAAATGGGGGAAAATAATTTGTAGGTAGCTCCCAAATAGAAAAAAAGTAATTCTTTGTAAGGCGGTAGACACACTAGAAAACAAAGCAGAGAAATGGACAGAATGAGAATCCTTGCCAGTCCGTTCTCTCAATACGCAATTTCCAGGTAACAAAGACTGGAATAAATGGAAGTCTTGTAGGAGACGGTGTCACCAGCCTCACATTCCTGGGTAACGCTCTTTTTATCCTAACCTGTCAGGAGGAACATCTTTCTTCTCTGGTCTTGTAAAAGAACACACCAAGGATAAACCTTAAACAGGCTTGTATTGGCAGGCTCCGGTCCAAATGTCACAACTGACCCCCATTTGATTGGGGTTTCTGGCATATTATTTCTGCCACTATTCAGAATTTCATAAAATAGGAACTAAATTATTTCTTACAAATGGACATTTCAAAATAATAGGTATTATAATTAACCCCATATCTACTTGATGAAAATTAAGATTAAGCTTCTATGACTAAAACAATAATATAAGTCATGTCATTTAAGGGGAAATATAAGAAGTACTAAAATAGAATTGCTTATCTACTTAATTTCTTGGGAATGTTTTGAGAGGGTGGGTGGCCATTTAGAGGTAACCACGATACACTTGTAATTATAAGGACAAATGGGTGTGTACATCTAGGTCAGTTGTGATTCACATGCTGTGTCACAGTATAATTTGATGTTAAGAGGCTTGTCTAAAATCCATTCTCTAAAGAATTGCACTGTAAATGCCTTGAGGGCAGGGACTCTTTCTTACTCACTGTTATCACCTATGGTTTTTAGGGCTACTCTAAATTGCACCAAACTCTAATAAGCAGACTTCTGACCAAAACACAGAAAGACAACTAGCATTGAACTAATCAGTATTAGAAGTCACGGTCTTTTACATAAGCATAGAAATACTGAAAGACTTGGAAAAAATGAATGAGGGTGTGTGTGTGTCTGTGTGTGTTTTGGGTAAAGGTAAAGAGCTAAAGACTATAAAACCACAAATAGATAGAAGGTTTTACAACATCTCATTGTAGACATGAATAAATTACCAAGCTAAAACCTGAGAAGTGGAAGGCAGAGTAGTGATTAAATGCTTGGGATGTGGAAAAGACAAGTCTGGCTCTGAGCTCCAGCTCCACCACTTACGAGAGACATAACCTTGGGCAAAACTTAATATTTTTTAAACCACAATTTCTTTTCTGTTAAATGGGGATAATAATACCCACATCAAAAGAAGGTTATCTAAGATGGTTTATATAAATTTCTGAAGAGAGTGCCTGTGATCCCTTAAATGGGAGTTACTAGTTGTATTATTAACAATAAATTTTAACTTCTAAGACACTTTTCCCAAAGATCACAATCTTTCTTGCTATAGTCCATATACAAGGCTCAAAAAATGGAGAAGCAGTGAAACCATACTTCCTAGCTCCTTGTAGGTGCGTGTGACCCAGACTAAGGTGTGGGCAATGAGACACAGAGTGTCACATGGTTATTCTGGAAAACCCCCTTATTCAAGGTGATTTTACAAGGTCAAACCCTGCTCTGTCCTTCATCCATTCTGTTCCCCGAAACAAGGATGTAATTGCCAGAGTGCCAGCAGCCACGCGAAACTATGAAGATGCAGAAAAGCTGGCAGGAGCCAGGGCTCTCACAACTTGAGGAACCACCTTAAAAGCCCTAGACTTCCTATCTCTGAACTTCTTTATGTGAGAGTATAAAATGTTGTATATTAAAGCTGGTATGGGTCTCAGCTACAAAACAAATCCTTGCTAATATACTGAAGTCTCAGCACTGCAGAAGAAATGTGGTCTCTAAAATTAAAAGCACAGAACACATAAGCCAGCAACCATCCCTGTAAGTAAGGATTTTCATTATTTGATAAATGACGCTATCTTGCTATTATTCCCTTTTAATACAGTTGGGTAACAGTTCCAGATTTAAGTGACATATATAGTTGGGAACCTAAAGCTGGGATTTGAGCCTGTCTTTCTGTCTGACTCTGAAGCCCAGTGAGCAGTGCCTATTTCCCTCTCTTCATGTATCTTCTTCTCCTTCCCATTCTGCTTCCTGCCTTCTGTCTTTTCCTTTTTATGGTCTTCCCACTCCCCTCACACCTCACAAGGTCCTTGATTTTGGAAAAGCATGTGTTTTTCGAATTAGGCTGCGACGACCAGCCCCGCCCAGCGCTGGCCCTTACAGCGGCCCAGCCCCGAGCCGGACAGCAAGCCGCCCCTGCTCACCGGCTGGAAGCGCGGCTGTGGGGGAGCAGGTGCTGTGCGTACCCCACAAGGGGCTCAGTTTCAGAGTCCAACGGAATGTGTATATTGTTTACAAATGCTTTTTATGCCTGCCAAGGACTGGGGAGAAAGGTCTCGATTCAGGCCTCTATCAGAGCCCTGTAGCTAGAGCTCAGCACAAAGGCCGCTCGGCAAGCTTTCTGGCTTCACGCCACCCACTGCATGACCTGCGACAGGTGTCCTTGGTGCTCTGCTTTACCCACATAAAGGGACTACTCAGGTCACAGGTGAGTTGTGAAAACGTATTCCAGTTTAAAACCGAGAGGAAAGCATAGAGAAATTACTGTGCAAATTTTAGGCTTGCCATTTCTATTTCTGACACACAAATCAATTATGTCAGGAAAGTGGATCACTTTCCCACAGGATATCCTAACTAGCTCAAGCCAGTAATGAAGTTGACCCAGTACTTTAAAAACAAAAATTGGGGTCACATTTTATGTCACCATTCTCGAAGAGCCTGACTTTATTTATGAAAGTATCTAACATGTATTAACAAATACTGTCTTGATAAACAGCATTTTGTCTCAAAAAATGTGTCTTTTTCAGATTAGCCACTAGCCAAGTAAATGTGAACAACAAAGATTCCCCACTGTTAAGTTTCATTAAGGAAATTCACTCAAGCTTCACAGTGCTGGACTAACTCAGACTAACAACACAGTGAAAAACAGAGGAATGCAAGCGCACAAACTTAAATCTCATTTTGAAAACGTCTACCCTCTCGCTGCTTCGGGGCATGGTCACAGTCAGGAAATATGGGCTGCCTGGAGCCAAGTGGTATTTTAGCAAGGCCAAACAAAATACACTTCTCTCTTTTCACAATTCTTTCTTTTTTTAAGCTTCTATTATTTTAAGAAAAGAAAAGGCCATCAGTATTTGTGAAGAAATACCAACCTCAACTTCAACAAAGCTAAGTTACAGAAGTTTGAAATTGTTTCCAGTTAACATTCTGCCAAACCAGAAATCCATATTAAAAGACTGTGTAAACAAAATAAAACAAAAAGTGTTTGTAACTAAGCTACAGAAAGACAGAACATCAGATCATCTTCTTTCTCTAAAGAGCTCCGGAAACAATGAAAGAACAACAATTTATAAGTTAGAAGTACTGCATAATGAATCTGTTCTAATTTCTGGCTTCTCAACTCTATAAAGTCTTAGAAATATTCAAAAAAGTGCCATCTATTTTAATTTTTATAAGGATGTATTTACTTACACTTTCTCTCCCTTCCAAAATATAAATTTCTTCTCAGCTCCTGGATCCCCCTAGTATCTCCCTAAGTATAAGGAAC